GCTCCGTCATCTCCAGTCCAGCCGCCAAGCACCTCCCCCCACTGCCCGCCGCAGTCCCTGCAGACCGCCTAGCCCTCAGATCCAGCCACCTGGCACTGGGAAGGGCACCCCTGCGGGCAGTGCAGTCCCTGCGGTGGTGGCAATGACCACTTTCCCCTTCCTCCATTCGATGCCAAGGTCCCACCTTCTTCCCTGAGAGGGGCAGTTCCGCCTCCCCCTCCCCCCAGAGTGCCTGAATTCTAGGTCCCAGGAACACTTACTGAGCCACCTGGCCCCTCAGCCTCCCTGGAAAAACTGAAGGGCACAGCTCTCTGGGGGAGGGATACCAGGGCAACAATTAAAAGTGGCAGTAGCACTAACCCCCTCCCCCATCATAGGAAGCCCCCCGGGGGTGGGGGAATAAAGAAAGCTGGACTTTTATAGTCCTTTGCTGTGACCCACTCCCTCTTAAAGGGATCGGAACACCCCTCCTTAAAGGGATCTCCAGAAATTATTTGCCCCCAGGCAAATCCAAGTGCAGAAGTCTGTTTGGTCTGTACCTGCTGGGGCCCCCCTTCCCTAGGGATGGGGGAAGCAGAAGCGCTCTCCCTGTGATTCTGAGCTGGAGGGGCACGGCCCCCACCTGCCACCAAGGAGCCAGGTCTGAATGCCTAGCAAAGAACAGGACCTCTCTCCCGAGGGTACCCACAGCCATAGCCTGGGGGGAGGGGGACCGGGGTCAAGGTGAGGTGGGGCCTGTGTGGGACTCAGTTTCCGCACAAGAAGGAACAAGGGGGGCTACTTGCACTCAGACTTTGGGGAACACATGTTCATGGTGCTGTGTCCAAAACCCCCATCTGTCCAGCGCTAGCCTCCAAATTACTGGCTAGGGGACGTCTTCGCAGGCCGCCTCGAGCCTCGCAAAGGCAGTTTCGGCATTCGCCTTCCCTTTCTGACTCCCCACTCCTGCCCTCGCTGGGGCCCCAAGTCTTTCCCTGGGGGCGCATTCTCTGCCCCTCACCCAAGCTGCTCCACCGCAGCCTCAACAACTGCACACTACACCCCACTTCGGGCTCGTTCCTGCCCGGCAGGGGTCCTCCCTGGGGTCCGTCCCACCCGCCCCCACCCTCCGTCAAGGGGTGGGGGATGGGCACACCTCGGCTCCAGGGAGCCCGGCAGACCTGCACCCTCTCCCTCCTGCTTATCCCGCACCTCGTCTCGCCTGCGCTCGGGGCCGCAGGGTTTGAGGAGTGGATGTCTATGGGGGAGATGGGGGTCCGAGGGCACTCTAGACAGAGGGGCTCAGAGTCGGAAGCGGGCACTCACTGAAGCCACCCCGTCTGCCCCTCCTCCCTTAGCCGGTGGAGGGTCGAGGCTGCCGAGGGAGGACTTCCCAGGCGCTTGAGAGCCCGCCAAGGCCCCCACTCCTGCCACTCCCTAGAGGAGAGACTCCCCCAAGGACTGGAGCTCTGCGCCCTCCCCCCGGCAGCTGCGGCAGCCTCCGGCTGAGGTCAGGCTCCAGCTGCTTTCTCCGGAGGGAGAGCGCGGAGGGTTGTTTGTTGTTGGGGTGTGAGCGGGTGGAAGGTTCGAGATCACCTGGCCCGGTGGGCACGGAGCGGGAGCCGGAGCTGGAGCAGGAGCCAGAGCAGGGGCCGGGTGGGCTGGGTTCGGCCGCAGTCGGCTGCAGAGACCGAAGTGCTAACCTCTCCCACCCCCGCGGCTTCAAAAAGCAGCCCCCTCCGCTAAAACCGCTGCTCGGCTTCTGCCTTGCAGCCGCCCACTCGCCCGTGCCCCCGCCCAGCGCTCCGGCCTCTCCGAGTGGCCGGCGTGCCCCCGGCCGAGGGCTGCCCTCGGGGTACCGCGAGGAACCCGACTGTGTCCCTCCTCTCAGCAAGCTTCCAGTCCAGTCGGGGCTGGGCTGGGGTGCGGGAAGAGGGCCGGGGAGACAGAAAACAGTGTGTTAACTTTTGACCGCAACCTGGAATGGCTCCGGAGGGGTCGGGGAGGCTACCGAGGTCTGCCCCTGGGGCAGGGCCAGCGCGCGGCGCGGGGACTTCTGACGCGGGGCTCAGTCCTGAGCTTAGGAAGCAGTCTTGAAGAAGGCGCAGGCATTCTTCAGGCTGACCTGCCATTGCTGGGTGGGGACGACGAGGACACCCCGGGCAGAGTAACCCGCTTTAGCAAAGGTGCAGAGCTGTGAAATTGGGGGAGAGGCGGCGGGTGTCACCGAGCTCTGTAAGACCTGCCGGGGAGCTCCTCCCCAAAGGCGTTAGGGAACACGAAGATTTGAGGGAAGGAAGATCCTCATTTGAGAACAACAAGGGCCCATTGGGGCAGCCGCGGGGTGTGCGTACACGGGGGAGAGGGTGTTGCACCTCAGTTTCCTTCCAGTGTTCACCTTACTCCGGGGATGTTTAACCTGAGGTCTTCGCCCTCCCTCCTGGGGCTGGGCGGAAAGGGTCCATCCTGGAGGGAAGAGCCCTCTCCCGCACTTCCAACTTCAGCCTAGCCCTGCCGCTAGTCGCTAGACTCCCCTGCACCCCAAGGGATGAGAAGGGACCAACGTCTCCATCTCTTCCCTCACTGCCTAGCTAGGCAGCCCTGCCCTCCCAGAATCAATGCCATTTCCTGGAGCAGCGACAAAGACACTGGCCAACATGGGGACTAACTTTGGCTTCCACGTGCTTTCCCCCACCCCACTTGAGACTACAACTCTTGGGTTCAGACACTGCTGATTAAAAAAAAAAAAAAGACAGAAAATGTTTATGTGGAAGGGGATATCTGAAGGAGAAACGGGGTGGGGGAGGGGGTAAACGACCTTGGGGTTGGTTTCTTGTTCTCACCCCCAATTCCGGTTCGTAGGCACAATTACTGTCATCCCATAGGGACTTAAAGGGGTTCATATCTGTCCCCAGTCAGACCTCCCTCTGGACTTGTTCCAGTCGCCCCGCCCACAGCTGCCTTCTGCCAGCTTGGAGAGAGAGGCGTCCCAGGCTCACACCTCAGTCCAGGATTGTCAGATCCAATGGGACATGGTGTCGGGGTATCCGGGAAGCCTCATACATACTATAGCCCTTTCCGGAAACTTTTCCCACGATGTCTGGAAGCAAACGGTGGGAGGAGGGGGGAGATGCCTTTTCTTTGGGGTTTCCTGAAAAGGTTATGCCCATTCATACTTCCGAGAGCACCCAGACTCTGCCTCTGGAATCCTCATCCTAGAGTCTCAAGCCGGACCTCCCATGAAAGCGTTTTCTGAACTTCACTTCTGCCTCACTCCCTGCTGCACTGAATGCCAGGGGCTTCACACTGTCACCTGCCTCGCCTTCCTGAGCATCTGCTCTTTTGCCTGGTCTCTACAATGGGACCATAAACCACTGGAGGGCAAGGTTATGGTTCCCACATCCCCCTATGGCTTTCTAGTTGTCCAGTGCAGTCCTGGCACAAGAGGAAGGCTGTGTCCCAGGCTCCTCAGAATCTGTCCCCAGGTCACACGACCCGCCACCTCTTTCCCCTTCCACAGACCCACTTGAAGGTCCCAAACTGGGAGCCTTTGAGGAGACTTCAGCAGGCAGACAAGTTTCATTAGATGTTCACAGGGCTTTCGAAAAAGATGAAAAAGATTACTATCAGGAGCCATTGCTGACATTTTAAAATAAAAATCTAGATTTCTAGTTTCTCTTGCTGCATCAGAGGGTCTGCTACCCGTAGCTCACTTTTCACTCGTGCCACGTAGCAAATGCCACCTTTGTGGGACAGGCGTGCTCATGGCACCCACGTGATCTGCCTGAGCCCTGAAGGTCTTCGCGTTTGTGATTTTGCCCTGCA